TTATAAAAGTGCAGTTATGAATGTCAAATGCCACGGATCACTGGAGAGCTCTGATGCAACCTGGGCTTGAGGAGTTTGTGACCAAGAAAAGGAATTTGGGCTGCTGTGCTTGGCCAAGGGATCTGCCTGGAAATGGAGGAATAACTCAGAGTGGGATTTTCAGGGATTTTGGCGYTTTGTTCTTGGATCAGCAGAAATTGCAGAGTTTATTCTGGAGGGGTGAAATGCTGGGCTGAAKCCTGCACTGCTCTGAGCTTCATTCCCTTCCCTGCTGAGTTCTGTCTGAGATCCCCCTCTGCAGTCTGGACCAACAATTCCCACTCCTGGAGCTCCTGGAGAGGTTTCYTGTCAAGACCCCTCTCTAGAAAGGAATTTTTGGATATGATGGTTTTAATATTTAAAATAAAAGAGTGTGGATAGGGATGGGAAATGCCCCAGGGGATCAGATTTAAATCTGATCTCAGCAAATCTGTCGAGAGCCGTGGTGAGGGAGCAGAGGATCCTCAGGTGGGCTGAAGACACTCCCAATTTTCCCCAGGGATTGCCAGAGGATAATTTTGTGTTCTGTTTCCATTTTTCAGAGCCCATTTACTCACAAATAGCAGCAACGGGGAACATGGAAAGGAATTGGCATTTGTAGCCAACACCTAATGGATTTTTCTCCGCAAAGAGGAGCAGGKAAATACAATTTGCTCTCATCTTGACTCTCCCATTTAGCTCATCATTAAGAGAAATCTGTGGAAAAAAGGTATTTTCTGAGGGGTGGATTTTTTTTTTTTTGTTAAATAGTAAATACCTCCCAGATTATTAAGCGATAGGGAAGATTGAAAATGTCACTCAAAGGAGCTCTTCTGATTCTGCTGAAGGCAATGACAAAATTTTAATTAACTGAAAGTGGGAGTGCTGTGTCATTCCCAGAGAGAGATGGAGACAGGAGTTTTATGGAATGGAGGMAATGGTGAATATTTGTGTCTAAAATTACAGTTTTGGTTTTTAATAATCASTTTTGCCCCCAGAATTCCACCTGCAGTGAGAGCTCCAGGGTCAAGCTCTTTTTAAGAGCAGAGATGGGAAAAGTTTTAAAACTATGCCCATCACTGTCACACTGAAAATGAAACATGAAATGGGATGAAGGTCTAGGTAAAAAAAATACACTGAAAGATTAAAAAACAGCATTTTTTTTCTGCAGTTATAACTCTTAATTAAAAAAAAATAAAATAATTTAAATATATTTGCTTTAGGTCATGAAAAATGAAGCATGGTTGAGGTTATTTAATGACTGGTGTAACTTCTGCTAGCAGTACCTATAAAATTTATAGCTCTGTAATTAGGGAGTGAGAAAAGTTTAATATTTCAGAGGTATCACTTTGGCTGTGCAATTCCAGCTGTTTCCAGCAATTCCAGCAATTTCAGCTGGTTCCTAAATAAGCTCCTTGTTCATTCCTTTCTAAACAATTCCTGATAAATTATCAGCTCCATCTTTTGTTGCTTTTGCTGGGTTGAAACCCAAATTTTCTCACCTAGGAGATGATAAAATCAGATCAGTGTTAAAATGCAGTTGGAATGTAGGAATTTGGTAAGAAATGGCTGCTGGAGCGAGGCTGATGAGGTGATCAAACATCCTGCAAAGGGAATTTATTGGGAAGATTGAGAGCTGTGGGGAGAACTCTCTGCCTACACATTGTTACCACTTCTCAKTCTAACTGAGGGCTGATAAATATTTGATAAATTAAAGAAATTAACGCCAGCACTCCCAGACTCTGAACTGCTCACACCTTTCACACATTATTCTATTAATAGGGGACAAAATAACTAACTCTAGGGCACAAATTGAAATGGAACAGAGTTGAAAAGCTGCGTGTTCTTTTCCAGGCAAATACATGGATTTGGAAGGAATAGATGGATCATTTGCAACACAACAATTGAGTACAATAATAATTTCCTGGCTTGCTGCAGATCCTGAAAATGATGCTGGGGTTTTTAAAAAGTGGTAACAGGCAATGACCAGCTTCAGTAAATCCTAAAACACAGAGCCCACAGCCTCTGGAATTGTCCTCAAGCAGTCAGGGAGGGAATTTTTCATTGTTCACTTTTGTGCCAGAATTAAACTTCGTTTTTCCTGCTGCTTCTCCCCAAACCACCCAAAATCACGACGTGGCCAAACCCTGCCCAGCCTGGAAACCTGAGTTAATCTCMCCTGCAATCAAATTAAAAGCCCCTAAAACCCTGCACATGCACTAATTGTGGATGCACAGGGCTGCCCTGCAGTGAAAGTTTTGATGGGTACAGTTAATCTGGTTTATCAGCCATCCTCTCTTGCAGAATTTGGCCTTTCTGCACAAATAATAAACTTCTGAGTTTGATACTCAGGCAGGAGAACAGCTTGGATTTCACACAAATAAAGCTTAACTTTACTGGAAGATTATCTAACAGAAATTTCTTCAGACAAAACATTTAAAATGCAAGAAAACAGTGGGTYTAATGAAACAGTTTTGCTGGGGAATGTCTGACTTCAGTCCTCCTGTGCCAATATCTAAAATAAGTGTGAAATATCTGTCATTAAAGCTGGGAGATTATAAACCCGATGACAACTGCTTTCATGCCAACGTTTTTGCTGGCACTGCAGTTCATTTTGTTCGAATCTTTCATCAACTCTGYGACTAAATTCAGAATTCTTGCTTTGGGGATCGAGAACGGTGAGAAAGAATCCACACATTTTCTCAGGTTTCACAGATAAACCTGCACTTCTTGGCTCTCAGCAGCGAAAATAAAACATCAATTAACAACTTTCCRTCTTCAGGAAGGTCTGGGTGAGATATCCCTCTAATATAAAATCATCATTTTCAGCAATCACAGTATTTTTTCACTCCTCATTGCCTTAACCATTTGCATCCAAGTACTTCAGGTTTTTTTTTTTGTTTTTTCAGAGATGAGACAAGAATGACTACAAGATATATTGATTTCATTTGAATGATAAATGGAGATATTATTTCCCAGCAGGTGAATAAATACAAAGCCAGCAAGCCACACCAAGAAAATCACTAAAACCACAGTTCAAAAAGTGGTTTAACCTTCATTTTACACGTACAAGAAAACCACATTCACAGCCAAATATTTTATAAACYCCTTCACCACCCGAGCTTTCCAAATGTTATTTTACATTTTAATTGGTTCAGGTATTTTTCCCCCATTTTTTTAGGCTGATCAGAGAAATGGATAGGGGAATATTGCTGAAGGGAGGATGGCTGAAGGAAGAATTGCTGCTTTGGTGGTGCTGTGAAGGCTCACTGTGGCAGAGCAGCACCCAATAAACCCATGAAGAAAAGCACAGAAATAAAATGGGGAAAGCCAGAACTGCGCAGGGGTGGACAGAAAGTTCATCCTTCTGTGTTTATTTTCAGTATCTCATCATTAGCACGGAGAATATTTGATAAATACCATTATAATGTACATAATGAGTTAATAACCYGTGGTGTAAGTAGTGCTACATAAAGAGGGCCTTTGGATCCCAGATAATTTGAAGTTTTGGTGTTCAAAATGATCAGATCTTTTTTCTCTGGGCAGGTTTTGACTTCAGCCTCTGAAAATCCTGTGCTAAAAGGTGTTTTTCTTCCATAATATAGTCAGGGAAATAATTGTGCTCTCTTAGAAATAACTGAAAAGATGATAAGCCATCCTCTCCTGCAGAATTTGGCCTTTCTGTATAAATAACTCCTTTCAGTGCAGGGATCCTGTGTGGTCAAACTGATTGCCAGGAAGAGAAACACTCTCAGTTCATTATCTGGAGCTCTTCAGCTCAATCCAAGGAGGCATTTTGCAATCACTAGCACAGAAAATAGATGCACTGAAATGCTACTGCATTTACAGAAAGCTGCAGGATAATTTATTTATGAGATGGCTTGTTGCTCTTACATACTACTTACATTCATCAAATTCTTGGCATTTATTCTTCCCAGTTGGGCCAGTGAAAAGCAACCAATTAAGGTGTTATTCAGGCAGAAAAATTCCAGCCCCATCCAGGAGCAGGGAAGGAGGAAGGATTATTCAAGGGTTTCTTTGGGTTTTGCCAGGTTCAGCCCAAGCAGGTGGAAAGGAGCAAGGGAGATGTCACCTCACAGRGCAAAATGTCCTTTGGGTCCTTCCCACCAAGGGGGCAATGTCCCTCTGCAGGAATCCCCTTCCCAACCTCCCCCCCAGGAGATTTCTGGCCAGGCCCAGCTATTCTGGCAGTTTTTGGGGTTGGGAATCTGCTGACACAGAGACTGAGACTCTTCTGCAGCTGTAAAAACCTGCCCCTCGTGTTCTGGGRAGTGTGGGGTGTCYCTYAACCAGCAGGAAAAAAAAAAWATCCTAATTGCAGCTTGTCTTCACAGGAGGGGCTTTCAGCAGGGTACCCGAGCTGGGCAGTGTGAATTCATTATTTGTGAATCTATAATTCTTTATTCCCTGAAAAATGAGGCCAGGGGAAAAGGAATCAGGCTTTCCAGCTTCACTGGAGCACTTGATTTAGGCTTTCAATACAATCYTCTCCCACCACAGCTTGGCCCTACAGATTTGGCCAGAAAGAAGCAGCGATTCACACTTTTATGGCAGCCTTAAAACTTTTTTTTGTCTAACAAGCGAATATTGTCTGGGGTGTCCAGCAAAGTTATTGTATCTTTATGTTTCTGTCGATGAAATTATGTCTGAGATGAGGTCTGAGTGCGGTGGAGTTGCAGCTAAAGATTAAATCTGTGTTTTGCATGGCAACGCTGTAAAACTGCTATTTCTGTTTCACAAAAAAAAAAAAAAATCTATTTTCCTCTAACACATTACATTGTTTCTTTGAAGGGTGAATTGAAGCATCAGTATTTATAATAAAATGTACATCATTAATCTGCAGCCTTTAATCTCTCCAGTCCTACTTAACCCAGTGAAGCTTCAAAAGGTTGGGGCACCTCAAATTTTTTTTTATTGAGAGAGGAGGTAAAATATAAATGAAAGATCCGAAATCAAAACGATATCTGTAATATTTCCTTTTAATCTGCATAAGATATTTAATGCTGGACATGTTGGGGAGCTACCTGGATGTTTGCCTGATGAACAGTTCCAGGGACATACTGGAAAGAGTAAACATATTAATTAGAGACTGCACAGCTCCTTCTTGCTGGTGTAATCATTAAATTGATTTTTCCAGTCTGACATGTAATTGTTCCAGCGATGGAATCCTGCTTTCCACTCTCGTTCTGCTTCATCAATATTTCCTGTAAAACATGAAATGGGTTCCATTAATCTAAATTTGAATCTCTTTGTATGCTAATTGAAAAATAATTTTGATTATCAATGTCATCTGCTCCAAATACATTAYGGGATGGTCTTTTGCTTCTTTTCTTAAACCTGGAGTGACTGAAAATTCAGTGATTAGCATTTTGTCATCACATCAGAATGGAAGGACTGCAAAGATTTTCTTCTGGCAGGGCAATAAATATATTGTGTATTTTTTAAAATACAGATATATATATATGTGTATTTTGGACAACACTTCTGTCCATCAAATTCATCATTTTAAAGCAATTTTTTTTAATTCTCAAAATATTCTTTTGGTTCAATATACCCTGCATTGAAACCCACGTGCCCTGAAGACTGAACTATGCAGAATGAGAGAGATGCTGGTAAAGATAAGGTGAAATCACAGCTTTATTCAAGGCAACAACAGCATTGCCTTTGGTTTAATGGATTTCAATGGATGTCTGAGATTTCACCCTCCCATGGAATAAATTCCCAAAGTTTAAAGCACAGGTCTGGAGCAGGATACTGCCAAATGTGCATTATCAATGTGAAATCTCTTCTCTTTTTCATCCCAGCCCATAAAGCCTTTGCTGAGTAATCCCATCCCAAGGAAATATTTATTGCCAAATTTGTTAGWGGCACTGAGCAGAGGGTGAGGACGAGAAGAGCAATGCAAACACAGCATTTCACAGAGTGTTTCATGGGCAGGGATCCCTTCCTGCAGCCCAAAGGTGATAACAGCACAGAGAAAGGCAGGGACCTTGCAGGAACATCCCACACACGGACAGAGAGGAGGAAAACACCTGCAGGCTGTGTCRATTATTTTATATCAGCTGCAGGCTTCAGGATAAAGCTCAGAAAGCGCTGCTGATCCGTGATCTTTATTCATTCTGGACAGAACTCTGGTGTGTCCCACGCTGGCACAGCTCACTTCCAGAAAAGCTTGGTCATTGTGTTCCTGAGGTGACAATTCCGTGGTTTCTTTATGCTCCTTTGGCTTTTATGTTCTTCTGCCGCAGCAGAGCCTCGGCCCTTTCCCTCCATAAATACACCCCGTCCCCCTTTTTTATGATCTGCCAGCACTGCAAGTAGAACTGGTGATGTGAAAATGAAATACTTCTGTGTTTTACACATCGGTAGAGAAAATATTCGGGGGAGAGAGTTCAGTGATTCCGAGATTTAGCTTGGAGAAGCATCCAGTAATTTGGTCGCTTATCTGCAGTTTAGCTCAACGCTTCCAAACYTTTTTGGTCTGGAAATCCAGATGGCAATTTAATGAGACTTTGAAATGAGATTTACTTCTTGGTTTCAGTGAGACCAGAAATAAAACCAAGATAGTTTTTCTTCGGGAAGTCCTGTATTTTTACRTGCAGTCAAAAGGGAAAGTGTGAAGAACAAACATGGGAAAAAAWGTCAATAAATTAACCACATCCTTCTCCCTCAGTTCAAAGTTGTAAATAAGCTTGGTTACAACAGAGATCAAAGGAAAGTTCAGATATTTTTACTTTTTTTTTTTCCTGCAGGCCACAACTGCTGTTAACTCAGAGATGATTTGGAAGTGCTGGTAACAATAAAACCTGATTTTCATTGCTAAGCTATGCAGAYAGAGCTCAGAACTGTGGGGACAAGACATGCACAACATTTTGCTTTCCTGACTCTAAGAACTCTCCTTTGCATATATTTAATTTAAAGATGAAGGCAGGGTCTCAGGCAAAGCCAAATTTTCCACATTAAGTCAAAAGGATTGGTAATTTAGTGTATGGAGCAGTAGCAGCATTATTTGGAGAAAACTGCCTGAACCGTGTTTCTCATTTTACTCTTGATTTTGGGGATCCAATTTTATTTATCCAGGCAAAACCTTCACTTATGAATTTAAAAGAAAAATCAAAAGTATCCCTTTAATTATTCAGGTGTAGAGGTGTTTGAAGTCTGCCCAAAGACTTTAAACACTGGAATGTCTCTACCACAGACACATCTTGAATTAAAAGTCACTGTTCTGGAGTATAAATGATGGGCCTTTTCAGTCCTTTTTAAAGATCATGGTTAAAAGTGAGTCAGCTAGAGAAAGAAGACATCAAAAAAATTCAGAGGAGCCACCATTATGAATCTAAAAGACAAAAGGGGGACGGAAAACACTGAAATAAGAACTCGAATTCCCATTTGTTTGCTTTTTTTTTTTCTCCCAGTGATAAGATCCAAATTGAAGTCACAAGTCAATGCATCCCATTATCACCAACACCATCAATCTCTGGGAAGCAACCACCCATGACTTAGACRAGCTGACAGCTGGGAGGCAGGAAAGAAAAAGAGGAGAGAGTCCAAGCTGACCAATAATTACAGCTCAGAGCCCTGGGTGGCTGCAGAGCCCCGGAGTCAGCAACTGCACACAAACGGGATTTTCCATGTGCAACCATTGGGACAATCCCAAACTTCACCTTCATTCCCAATGAGACAAGAGGAGGGTCTGTAGGCAATGAATAAATGCTTTGGAAGGTCCCGGTTTAACACAGCAAAACACAAAAGGAAAGATTTTTTTGATTCTTCAGTAGTGCTGCTGCAAGCAGCTGGAACGTCCTGTCATTCCATACATCCCTCACTTTAATGGTGTTACAGCAAAGCTGAATTTATCATCATCCCATCCTTTGAACTGCTGGATGTGCCAATAAAGTGCTAATCTTCATGTTAACACACAAAAATACATTTAAGATTGGGATAAAGGCCATATAGCTGTTAATGAATAAGGGATGACAAGTTGGAATTAATTTTCCTGTCTTCAGCAGCTCACGATTGCAGGTACCTGTGAGTTTCTGAGTTCATTAGTATGATAAATGCCACAGGTTTGTGCTGTAGATTCTCATGGTGAGAGTTTCTTCACAAATGTCCAGAAAGGAAAAAACAGATTATATCTGCTATCAATATCCTTTAATCACACTCTCTGGATATCAMAGCTTTGTTAGCCACAGCACTATAWTCATTTTCACAGSTGGTTTTAAGAAGTTCARATTCTTTTCTTTTATTGTTTCATTTCTTCCAAAAGTCAGCAGAGCTCTCTGGGAGATGAATTACTCTAAGGGCTGTTATCTTTCCAATGATATGAGATGAAAAATTAGAAATAAATCAGATTGTTGAGGTACAGAAACTTATTGCTCATAGGTGTAGTGGTATTGGTGAGGTTACTTTTGACTTGTTCACATTTCATTTCTCCATGTATCCAGTCTGTGGAAATTCAATTTAATTCTGATAGTGAGTTTTCTGTTTATTTTTAATATTCTTTCTACCYTGAGTATTTAGTAGAACCCAGATATTGGTTGGGGGTTCATAGCAAACACAAGAATTTTTGTTACCCATTGGTCAAGAGATTGAACATTCCTCTGCCTCCACATAAAAAAATCTTTTCAGGGTGGTTTTAAAATGTAATGTATTTATATTACCTAGTCTGATTTCTTTACARATGATACATGATGCAGTAATATCAAATAAAATCGAAAAATATGTATCAGGCACACTGAAATAGAAATGGAGGAGTAAATGGAAAGCTTGGCTGCCTGCAGCGTTCTACAATCAAGAGGAAACAGGCACATATAAATAGGAAGGGCTTTAGATGCATTAAAGGTTGTGCTGAGGAGGTAAAATCTAACACAGATGCTTTTATAATTAACATCTGATTGCTCTAAAAGCTACTTAAAAGTCACTCACTGTTGACTGKCCCTCCAGTGGGATTCTCCCAGCAGCAGCCAGCAGAAACCCTTCTGTTTTCACAGTGAAATGGGAAATGCTGAGTGATCCTGGCTGGTCTTGTGGTGGCTGGGGTGGAGGGTGTGCTCAGGGCCTTAAAATTGGGTTAAAATCAGTGTAGGAATTGCGTCTGGTTGGAACTGAGCCCATGTCAAAGTCCAATTCACTTGTCCAGTGTTTGTTATCAAGCTGGACACAGAACTACCAGTTSTGACTTTTGTATTCAGTGATGGATTTATGTATTGAAACTCGAGGAGAAGATGTTGAGAAATCTCCCAAAACCATACAAAGTACTCTGGAGAGATCAAGGCCATATTTTATATATGGCCATTTAGTTTGTGTTACTGTGAGGGCCTTACTTTTTCCTTATTMCTTTTCCTAATCCACAACCAGAGCAATTTTTTAAWATATATATATCTGATATTATTCCTTCAGGAAAATGTAAATTATCTAACAATAAATACGGCAGGGATTAAATATTTTCCACTCTCATCTATTTAACTGCCTGAAGGAACTTGTCTTACCCCACCTGTGATGGGGTCAGGCTGGTTCAGATCCAGGACACATTTGGACCTGGCCTTTAAAGGCTTAAAAATCCCTCATGGGGTGGTAAGGCTCATGCTAGGGGTGGGTCAGGAATTAAACAAGGGGTTACCAAGCACATCCACAGCAAATCCTGATCACTTGGTATTGAAAAATTGTAATTTCTGCAAAATAAGTTGTTTTGATTATCCTCTTTGGTTTCTACCTGATAGAATTCTCCTTCTCCTACCTGAACCCTACTTGAACTTGTAATAATGAGAATATAAAAATTCCTTACTTGTTCTCTGTCATCTTATATCACCTCATGGTAAAGCAACCTTCTTTTCTAAGGATATTTCAGTAAGGAGTAATAGCAATGAGAGACCCTCAGAACATGAAGAAATCTGTGCATTAATGGTGTGCACTGCTCTTTGGGCATAAAAGCAGAGAGAAAATGCAAAATAACATTTCAGTGAAGAGARTTATTGCAATGTAAGCTGTTACATCACATTTGTACACAGGATTTTAAAGGGTTTTCTGTCAGATTTGTACAATATTGGTAAGGAACGTGATGGAAATATTCTGTTTTTACATTTGCCTCATTTCAGGGACTGACAGTCGTAGGATCCTCATTTCTCCACAAATTTTCCCAGCCAGGTGAAAGGAATGTGTAGAGGAGTTCAGTTCTCCTGGCTTGTCAGAATGGTTGAAACCTCCCTGAAATCCGTCAGTAATTGGGAAAGCTGTGATTTTAAAATCACAGAGYTGGCTTCATAAATTATTCATTTTTACCTACTGATTCCGCGTCTCTTGATTTAATTGAAAAACATCTGTTGAATTGAGAGGGGATGAAAGTTGAGCCATAATACAGTCATAGACTCAAATGAGGAAGGAATAAATTATTTCAGAAGGAATCATCTGTGCACCATGACAGTTTACATATTTTTAAGACTTACGTGTTTTTTAAGACGAGCGTTCAAGCTGAGTCTTAGAGAAAGGTTTTAAATTACTAATTAACATCTTAAAAGTGTATCTCGTTTTTGAAATGAGACTTTCCCYCAGTCAAGCTGCAGAATGTGATTCYAGAGCTGCAAAATCACTTTATAAAATCAATTCCTTTTGAAATCCAAAGCACAGAGGCTTCATCTGTTGCTGGGCTTTGTGAAAACAGCRCCATCGGTCTTCTAAAAATTTCAGTCTTCTGTGTTTAACTGACCTTAAAGTTTCAAACAATTATACTTTTCTAGGCAGTGAAATCTCATAAATCCGTTGCATACATGGCCAGGCACAAATCAGTTGTGTTTTCTCCTGCAAATCCTGCAGTCTCTGGGCTGTCAGCATCACTCCAGAAATAAAACATAAGGCTCTCACGTGAGCTGGAAACCACAATCCCCTCTTGGCAGTGGCAGAGCACTTCATATCCTCGGGRGATTAGTTGCATAAAATAGAATCCCATAAATAATAGATAATATAATCCAAATATAACGTCCCACAGCTTATACAGAACATCTGAAGCCTCCACGATTCCCAGTGCAGGCTTTTCCTGCTCTCCCCAGCACCAGGAACTCAGAGCCTGGTGGCTCCAAGACTCTCACAGGGATAACAAAGGACAGAAGTGTCAGCACTCAGGGTCTTCCATCGTGGCTGCATCTGAGTTTTGGGACAGAGAAACTCCACAGCACAAAGTCCTGGCCCTTGGTGTGTCCCCAGCTTTTGTCCTGCTACAAAACACCATGGTGACCCCAAAGCCAGAAGCACAGAAAATGTCTGGGGCCCAACCTTACCACGCCACGGACAGCTTTATCCAACAAGAATTCAKTTTTATCCAACACAAATTCAGTTTTATCCAACACWRATTCAGTTTTATCCAACCTGAACAGCTCCGTTCTAAACAGGAACACGAAGATTTGAACTCAGGTACCACATTAACATCCAGCAAATGAGCCTTGCATAAAAGTTTTATATAAAAGCATCTAGAAAAGAACTGTTACCTGTCATTTCCATAACTTTGGGGAAGAAGTGTTTCCAGAATCGACAGTGCTGGGCTCGTAATTTTGACAGCACCTCGGGAGTGTTGGTGTTTAGTGTCAGATATTTCTGGTCAGTGCTAGTGAAGACTGGCCATCTGATTCCACTAGTTAGGGTCCCATTTGGAGCTCTAAATGAGAAAAGAAAAGCTTCATTTAGAATGAGAAATCACCTCAGCACACCAATAAAGCATGATTTGGTTTTATTTAACAGTTGTTCAGCTTAAGTGTGTTAGTTTGGAATGACTGCTGTGTTCTTTTGAAAGGAATAGGAGAAAAAAGGCAGATAAATTTCATTTGCTCTCATTTGAAGAAAAAAAAATCCCCTTTTGAGGTGTTCTGGGTTCATCAAAAACGTAATAAATGATCATATTCAAAGCACTTTTTGAACCTGGAGATTCTCAGAGAAGCTGTGAGTTATTAGGGCTGACTCAAGAACAAACAACMAGGCAGCCTGAGAGTCTGGGTGGTTTGGGTTTTAGTTTGAATGCTTTTGATCCCTTCAGATGGACAAATAGATTGGAATAAACGACCGAGATAAACATGTGAGTGGAGGTACAAATAATGTCTAAATTTGGGTAAGATCTGTGTTGGGAGAGAGAACAATTCTTCCTCATTAAGAAGGAGCTGTCAYCCTGGAGGCATGTGGTGGGCCAAACAGGAACAATTTGAAATCTCCTGGAAACTGGGAAGAGGCACAGAGGGCTTGACCCTTCATAAAACCAKCTCTGCATGTGAAAGGATCGCAGCTGTTGGTATGAAAAGAGTTGTGATAAATATTTATAACATGACAGAATTCCTAGGGTTCTAAGGACAGGCATCCAGGTTTTCACCTCCAAAAATGACAGGATCTGCATGAGGGGAAAAAAAAAAGGTTTAAATGTGTAGAAGAACAACAAAATGGAAAACATTGCACTAGGGGAAAGAAGAGACAGAATATGATGTTCAGGAAAAGAACTGTACTTCAGTCACAAATTGCCTTTAGCTCAGAGGAGGTTAAAAACAAAAATTAAACATTTTATGTCAGTGCAAGCACAAGGAGCCATTTTCCTCCTGAGAAGCTGATATCTGGGATTTAGGGCAGAACAACAGTAACTGATGATTCTTGCTGGGATAAATTAACAATGAGCTGAGTTAATTAGGTTTCCTCTCCTTCACTTTTCACCAGGACTCTTCCTGGAAGGCAGAAGGCAAAGAGGAGTCCAGGGTGTGGGAGCCATTTGGGTACTGCTTCCCAAGAGTGGAAGCCAGGAAGGGGGTGAGACGCTGAGGCAATTTTGATATCTCTCAGTTAATTCTGAATTAATAAAGTTTTCAGCCCATTTTTTTGTGTTCTGGGGTCTTGGGCAGTGGCTGCTTTCAGAACCATCGTTAGAAGAAGAGCTTCAGGCTGTCATTTCCTGAACTGCTCCCTTCCTCACGGATTTTTCTTGACTAATTCAGCACTGATTAACCCGTGGCACCTTTTTAAAGTGCACATTTATTTGTGGCTCCTGAGAGTGATGACTTAAGCAGAGATGACTTGCACTTCAGTTCGAGATCAGGACGCTAATGGCGCTGTCAGTATTCATTGAACAGCTTTTATGCTATGAAATAAATCATGACATCCCACATTATAATTTACAGGTGTGGRGGGGGGATTACACAATGCCTCGATGGCTACGGATGGATTTGACTCAAAAATGATTGAAAGAACTGYCAGGTGAGCACAGCACTTTGAAGCCCATGAACTTGCTGATTACAACAATCCCTCAGCATTTCTAGGAAGTTTGCTGTTCAAAGAAATGCCCGGTAATTTCCTTCTTAGCCTCATTATTGAAAATTTCCCAAGTTAAAAAGCAGCTCCCAGTCGGAGCCAAAGGGAGATCGCAGGAGTGTAATTTGGAACAAGCTCTGATTATAACCTTGTTGTTCCCTCACAATTACTGCTCATTCCTTCTCGCTAATAACTTCATGATGAGAATTGCAGTGCCCAGAATAGGCTGMACAATTCCCTGCTCTTTGCACCAAATTCAAAGTCGAATAATATTCATATAGAGCAGTGGAAGCAGGGTGGGAATATCTTTAGTGAGCAGACAGGAATCCAATACCCTGCACAAACTTGTCTCTGCCCATTTAGGTTTRGATGGTCAATCTTTGCTGATCGATTACAGAAACTTGTTTGGACTGGAAAAAAAAAAAGTTCAGTTTGCTCCCTTCTATCACTTTTTCAATGCCTTAAACCCCTGCTTTTTCATTTTCTGGTACTGCTGAGTTCCCTCTCAGTAACTCCAGTTTTGCCACTTCTGTGCTGGCACTGAGGCCTGAAAGTGTGTCCTGAAAGGGTTTGGGCTGTGCATCTTCAGGACAGGCCTCGATTTTGTGTTTTCCTCTTGTCAAATCACCTTTCTTGGACAAGCTTCAGGGAAAACCTTCATTTTGTTGGAGAAATTCATTAAATGAWTTTGGAAAGGACCTTGGAAGGGACCTTGGAAGGTCATCCAGTCCAACCCCCTGCAATGAGCAGRGWYATYTTCAGGAGTTCAGAGCAGGAAWCTGAGCACCACTGAAGATCTTAGAAACAATCTGGTTCCTTTTCTACCCCTTGTACTGTTTTCAGGAATAAGACTTAAAGCAATGAAGAAATAAAATTATTTGAAATGCTACCAGAAAAGAAATGCAAGAGGGAAAAAAAAACAAACCAAAAAAACCAAAACAAACACAAACTACCTGTGTTTCAACTTTGGTGTAAACAGAATTTGTCTCATTCCTTCATCTGTGTTTTTATTTTGTATATGCCCTGAAATTACAGGCAGGATTCTCTCTGCACTGGTACTGCTACAGCAGCTCATTTACAGTAAATTATTTTGTTAAAATATGTCTTTAAGTGGAAGTTTCTTGGTTGTACTTGTTGTTACKTAGATTAGATTCTTCCCTCTTTGGGTTTTCACATCCACAATTGGCAATAACATTTCGTTTTCAAGATTAATTTACAGGAAGTGTGCTAGATTTGATACAGGAGTGAAGAGGGTTTTACAGGAGCTTATTCACCTATCATCTCTCTGTATTTAATATTCATCCTCAGCAACAGGAGAAAGTTAATTTCATTCAAATGGAAAATGCAACATGAACAGAGTTCTGTTAATCATAATAAACATACACACATTACCCTTCTCATTAATATGATCAATATAGCCTGAGATACAATACCAGCTCCCTGCACCTTTATTAATATTCACAGAGCGTTACTTTTACAAATGGTTTATCATACAGATACACAAAGAAATGTAATTCATCATCTGACTGGTTTTGGTAAACATCCGTGATATAAAGCACCTGGCAAATATTCCCTTTATTTTTATGAGTGAGCTCTGAACAGCAGAATGAAAACTCACAGAGTGAATTCCACCCTTTACCACAGAGGTTGTTCTTTTGTACTGGTAACCTGTATTTTGAAGAAAGCCAGAATGGAAAATATTCTCTGCTAACCCYCCTGAAAACATTTTTAGGCTGATTTACTTTTGCAAAACAACTGTGCTCTTCTCCAGATTAGTCTGTCCCAAGCTTTCACTGTATCCCTGTTCAGCTGCTCTATTTGTGACTTTTGTTGTGTTTTTCCAGACAAGAACAACAATCCCACATCTCAGTGCTCACTAAGATTAATGAAAATTAATGATAATTCTGCTGCAGCCTCTGCTTCCCCTGTGCAGGAAGAATTGAACTCCAAGGGAGCCCTGTCCCTCCTGGGTGTGACTGCATTGGCTTCACCCTGATTGGAACTACTCATTTTCAATTTGGCCCCTTTTGTTTTAAAAACTGGTTTAAAGTCAGGAGAGAGGGAATGAGAATCCTTTTTATTGTTTTTTTTTTGTGATTCCTGGTAGCTGTTGGGCAGCACTGGCAATCAGCTGGCACCCATGGGATGGTGATTTATGGAGTGGTACCATGGGCACAAGATAAACAGGGGAATGACCTTGGAGGGAAAAGAAAAAATGGAACAAAAACCATCCCGTTTTTGGTAGATTTCCTACAGCTCAAGTACAAAACCTCAGAGAATCATGGAACAGTCAGCTCAGCACCAAATAAGCAGCACAGGGTGAAGGTTTCACCCCAAGGGTAGCTCTGAGAGTAAGGGGTGGCTCTGCAATGTCTGAGGGTTGGATGATCTTAAACGTCTAAACCAGATGAACTTTTCCTTTTTTTTTTTTTTTTTTCCCCTCCCACTTTCTGAAAGAAAACATTTCATTGTTTTCCCTCTTTGCCACTTGGACAGGAGGACACTCCTAATTAGCAGGAACGCTGATGAGGAGCTGCCCCAGCCCCTGCTCCAGAGGGACGGGAAATGTTTGTGCCATTAGTCAGGCAGCTCAGCCACATGTCTCACATAATTCCTAAAGGCCAGGAYGTGTGATATTTATACCTGTGCTCATTTCCCCACTGACTGCCAGGCTAATCTCAATTTTGGGTGCTGGTGTGGGATTATGGGGTAGCAACAGCAGAGGATTGTGTAAGGTTTTGCCTGGATGGCACCACTGGGAGATTAGCAGACACTTTCCAGCCCAGTCCCATTAAAAGTAAAGCAGAATTTACTGGTTGAGTCTTCTCAAACCCTCAAACAATTTGGCTCCCCGCCAGTTCTTCCCACCAGGCTGTTCCTCTCAATGACTCACTGCTAAGGAGAGGTGCAGGAGGTGAAAAACCCAATGTCCTTAACCTGAGGAGCAGCCCCAGCTCTTGGAACAAAGACAATGAACCTGCTCTGCAAATGTGCCTTAGAAAAGTTAGCGAGGGAAAGGCTGAAGAAATATCTGTAACATCAGTAAAAAAATTCATGGTAACTGTAAAACATCCCCTGAAGCTCTAATTACTGTGCGAGGTTTTCATTCAGAGGCTGAGGCCTCCATAAATCAGAAATTCTCTGCGTGAATGTGTAGATTGAATCTGATGCAATATCACCAGCAATTGGGTCAATATATCTATGATTCAGTATAATCAACTCATTCTGAGATTTTTTTTTTTAAATTCAGGCAGTTATCCAGGATGTTTTCCCAAGCCTGCTACTCTTTCACCACCTACTGAAGTGACTGGATGGGTCTCCCTGGATAAAATCCTTACATTATGCCACAATCTTTTACACTAAATTGTACATTTT